GCAAAATGAAAATTATATAGTATAATTTTACATGTACATATGTCTAATTTTCATAAGATACGTTTTTATACTGAGCAAAAAGTCTATTTTGCGCGTGTAGACTGTACTGATACAAATGGCATGCGGGATTCGTGTAAAGAAACACCCAATATTTAATTCGTTTACATGAAAGTTGCATTTCCAGCGGAAGAGCAATTTCAAGAAGCACAGAGCCCGTTTGACTGGGCAGTAATCAAAATTTCTCAGGGCGAGTTAAACGAAAGAAAAGGGTTAATTTCTAACTCAGTTTTATGTGTTCGTTTTATATATCGACGCCATACGAAATACCACAGAAACAGTTTAGATATTCCAGAATTAAAATATCCTTTCGGTTCATACAGCAAAAAACCTCGTTTGATCGATTTAACGACTGCCAGGATACCACCGGCGGCCACAGTAGCCGAACTACGTGATGACTAAAGCACCGCGTTAATACAGACTATTCGTTTGCAGTCTTCTGCATCGATCACCGTGTCTGGGCGGAAACGGGATTCTCGGGACCGGGGAGTATATCGCAGTTTGAAGGATCTAAAGGAATAGTGGACCGCAAACGGAGGCGTGCAGCCCAGACTGTCTGACCCGGTCCATTCCTGCACGGTTTCCTGCCTGCCCGCGCTCTGCCGGAGAGGGGGGACAGGCGAGCAGCAGTGGAAATCGGGGTGCCGGGGGGCGGAGAGAGCAGGACTACTCGGGGAAGAAAGACTCCGATACACGCCTCCTCAATTACCGCTCTTTGTCCGCCTGTATTTCCATTACAAGTGGGGACATTCAGCGGAATTCGGAAGAAAATACGAACAGGCGAAAGTTGCGCCAGGAGTTTCTGAATATCTTAACAATGTAAAACGATTATTACAACACTATTTGCTTTTATAAATCCGTTTAGTGGAAGCAAAATTCGAAAACACAGTAAACCGTTTTGTTCATGATACATCCTTGTATGTTTATTTCCAGGCTTAAAAGCACAAGCGGTTTCACAGGTAACACGTTGTGCAGTAGGCTTGAGTTTTCGGTTGCCTTATGTACCGCCGTGAAATCTAGTTTTTCTACAAGCTAATTCGGATTACAAAGATTTGATTTGATTACTATGCAGAGCAAAATAGCCATTTTAATTCCCGATCGTGTATTTTTTCAAGACAGACTTCGTTTAATAGACTAAAACTTATTTTATCGCCCACCAGTTTCTTTCTAAAACAACCGCCTGCGAAAAAAAAATCTCCACGGAGTGCTGCACTTCTACGCCGTAAATAATAAAAAAAAGGGATTCGAAACACAGTCCTCAAAAACACACGGGAATGATTCTTACCTGATTTTCCGGGAGCGGGTTCGGCCGAAATTCGATTTGTGCCCCCACCCCCCCGAAAAAAAACTTGAAAGTAAGGAAATCCTGTAAGAAAGAGAGAAAAAAAAACAGCAGAAGAGAAAAATCAGGCGAATTCAAGCCTGGACATTTTGCGCGACATTTTGCGAAGCGGTGGCGAAATCCTGGGGAAGAATTGAAAATACATACGGTAGCGATTTGTTGATCTTTCTGTCGAAGTTGCGGAGTTGGGCTTGGAGAGAGCGCGCCGTCCAATGAGAGAGGCTGGAAGGTTGAGGTCTGTTTCTCTCTCAGGGAGATTTGCTGAGAGACAAATCTCACCAGCAACTTTTTGACGCAAACTCCCCAGCCAATGGCAGCGAGAGCCTGATTGACAACGTACCCAGTTCGGAGTCAGAGAAGGGAAAATAATAATAACACGCCAGTGTACAGCGCAATAGCGCTACGGGGGGGAGAGAACGGTCTTGCTGTCGTCCAACGTCTCCAGTCCTCCTGGGTCAGGGTTGATAGAGGCGGCGGATACATGGGAGCCCCTGATGGATTTATTATCTACACATTTTAAAATGTTGCTTTTACTATAAACACCCCCCCACACATACAGACACACACACCATAAATACAACCGCTACTACCGTCTTCTGAGGGACAACAGAGGGCATTGTTTTCAGTCCTAGATAGTAGGACTTTCTAGAGAAGAAAGGTGAGCATGACGTCCCCTGAACCCCACGATTAATTAAAAACAGCAGTAAACACCCCCCACTCGCGCCCCGAGGACTCAACCGGCTCACCGGACGGCTTCCCTAAATACCTAAACCAGGGTTTCACTGACATCGTAGTGTGCACCACGGGGAAAGACAGACCGGTAGAATTTGTTCTTCTTTTTTATATATGTAACAACCATACAGATCTAGAGTCGCGCAAAAGAGACTCGGCGACCCTCTGAAGAACATATACTGTCACGCCCTGCTCCCGACACTGCTTTTGCCCCATGACAAGCGAGTAAGCGACGGAATACTGTAGTTGAAGTTTTCAGAAGAGAGACTGGGAATTCCCAAGGAAGCGAAGTTAGTGCAGGTAAGACAGAAAACTTCCTGAAACACCCCAACTATGTAGTTGCTGAGGTTATATACTCCGGACGGTGCGTGTTTAGGGGCTGCCCGAAGAGTTTTTAATAGCGCTAAACTTGCACATTACAAACCTTGCCACGGATTTCTGTTGCGACAGATACATGGCGACACAAACCTGGAGGTGCCCACTTCTCAGACAAGAACAAGGACGTTTAAGAAGGTCCTGTGAAGTTCTTTGATGGGAACACCAGAGATGGGCGATGATTTACTGATTTAATTTCAACCACTGTCTTTTTGGGGGAATTGCAAAGGACACTTCAGGTATGTATGGATTTGATTTTTTTGTGTCGGATATAGATTCTGCTTACAGTGGAACAGTCTAACTTGTATTGTATTATTTTATAAATCACCTTTTAGACGGGAATATGACTTGAATAATCGCTAGAAATATACTCTTATTAGGGAACAACAACAACAACAACAACAATAATAATAATAATAATAATAATAATATAATATAGAAAGTACGGTTGCGGAAGTTGTCAATATCTAAGAAATAATACCCAAAACCAATGGATAGTTAATTTATGTTCTGGCATTTGACACGTGCTTTAATAAAGTAGAACAAGTTTCCGAACTTCTACTTTTTTCAACTACATTGTATAATATTACAATTTAAGCATATTTAGGCCTACATAAAACACGGTAGTTCATCTATACGTGCTCTTTCTGACCGTATGTGTATTTCAAAGCTAGAAATGAGTTCCCAAAGGTAGGCGTGATAAGGGAGGAATTTGACATCCCGCTCGGAGTCACTCTGAGCTGTCTGGTGTCCACGAAAAAAAAATCCAAGAGGAAAATGTATAGGAGAAAAAATTCCAAAATAGTTTTTCGATCTTTCCATCAGTGTATCAACATGAAGCAAAGCGAACGCTATAAGCAAACGAGTGAATAATATTAACAACAACAACAACAACAACAACAACAACAACAATAATATTTTTAAATAATTTTAATAATAATAATTTAAAGTGATGGCATTTTCAGGTGGGATATCAAATGACTGTCTGCCGAGGGTTTGAACGAGAGAAACGACTGCTTCGAACCCCCACTTAACCTCCAGTCCTCTGTGAAACGAGTGCATCCCCACAAAAACAAATCGGGAGGATTTTGTCACTGTTTGGTATATGTATCCTCTTTAGAAAGCTTTGAGAAATCCAGACACACATCCCACACAATCTTCCCCGCTCCCCCCCTCTCTCTCTCTCCCTCACTCTCTCACTCACACACACCTCAGTCAGATTTGAATATAGATTTAGGTTTTAAACCCAAAGCCGGAATCCACAGCTTCATAAACCCCCGGTCGGTTTGAGCAGGAAATTCACGCATTCTCAACTCTGCGTTTGCCATTCTGAAATGCGTGCGGTGCGAGGTTTAATCATCACCGTTGAAATAATCAGAGGCAGGACGAAATAAAAGGTCTCAGATAGGACGTGAGCTAAGTTTTCCGTAAGAGGACTGATCTTCCTCTGCGATGGAAACAAAAGTTTGGCGGCGAACGTCGAGGCTCACTGCTAGCAACTTCAGAGGTTCGGTCACTATCAGACCATCAGTGGAAGAAGAGGACGGGAGAGAAAAGGGTATGATTTTACATGTCAGTCCATTGTTAACGTACTTCATCAAATCAATCCATCACGTCCGTCTCCGTATCAGTCGTGTCTGCCTGCTCATACCTCCAGTTTGTAAATAATAATAAAACATTTGGTTAGAACCGAAACACAACGGCTGCGTAAAAGCAAACAGCAAAAGGAGGAACTCCATATAATTTTATACCAGGATTATTTGCATTGTGTGTCACCCACCCACTCTTACAGGGGCCCACGGATCAGCCTCTTTTGTCCCCGTTTCCCCCGATTCCCTCAGCCCCAACCCCCCCCGCGTGCCCGCAGTTTCTCGGAGCGCTCGGGGACAGGTCGCGTTTTGTTAGGGATTAGCGAACAAGCTAATTGTTATTGCTGCTCTTTTCACAGCCTCGCAACTTTGTTTGCTGCAAACTCTTTCAGGACTGTCTTCCAATAAACTCTCCACACCCCGGCAGCCAGGGAACAGAAAGAGGGACCCAACCTGTCACAGAATCTAAAATGCATTTACAGTCGTCTGTTTTTTTTTCTTCTTCTTAAAATTTCGATCGTCTGTCCGAAGAACGGCACAATTATTTACTTTATGGAAAACAAGACGCAATTCAGAGAGTTCATGAAGTTGGATTTCGACGAGCTGTTATTTGAATCAGCTTGAAAACGTTTTAAAAATAACGTTTTTTTTTTCCGAAAAGGCAATAATTATATACATATACGATGACACCTTTACATCATTAATTTTATATGCAACCATTATATGAAACCATTTCCCCCTAAATTCACTGAGTTGTCATATTATATTTTCTTTTTTTTACTATGTATTTATTACTATTTACGTATTTACTAATTTTAGCATTTACATCTCATAAGGAAATTCCATGAATATTCCATTACAAACGCTAGATGAAAATGATAACCTGTGATTATTGTTAGTCGACTACTAAAACATTCTGAGAGGTTTAATCTTAAACGGTTTTGGACTGCAGGATCCAGCGTCCAGTTCGCCTGACGCAGCTCGAGATTATAGCTCGGATGTAACCCGCACCGACTCTTTAGAGCTAAATTGATAAATTATTCATTTTTAAATACCACACCGCCTCGGGGAATTTCTATATTTAAAAAGGAGAACGACGGGAAAACGAAATCGCACACCTCGTGTTAACGCCAGCGGCTATCAGTAACCCCGCTGCCTCGCGGCTAATTGAAGAAGTCGTTGTTTATCCCGGTTTATGGAAAACGAATTGTAGGGTTAAGACTCCTGGGAATCCTGTCCCACTTCACGTAAAGAGTTCCCACATAAAGTTATCCCCTTTCTTCACGCGCCCGAGCAACACAAAGCATTTAAAATAATATTTCAAAATCGAGGCCTTCTTTTTTGGAAGCCTTTTCCATTTTGGAGCGACGACAACAAGGTTTACAATATCACTATACGGAGCTATTCCAACGTTGCCGTCGCCTTAAACCGTAAAGGGAAAAATAACGTTTAGTGCGAGCGTTCGTCGATATATATAAAACAGTTTGAAATATCGATATCAAACTCTCAACTAGATCCAAAATGTTTTAACTCATTCCTGTCAGCTAAATTAACTTGATATTATTTAAGCAACGTTAACATGTAAATTATATATCCCTTTTCAGAGCCGATAGTATAGGTCAAGGTAACTTCGTGCTGACGTTACGATTTTCTTAAATTGGAGTCATTTTGCAATCTGTAATCCCGCAGTCTGTGAACTGTGTGTAATGTGAACTTTAACAGAAAGTTGGCAGCTGTGTTTATTCATATAAAACACCCGAGTAGCACCGGAAAACTGAATAGAACTTGTCAAACAAATGTTCCAACTTGAAACATTTAAGTCAATAACGTACTTTATAATTGAACTGAAGTATTGTATTTTAAAAAAAATATATATGACAGATTTATTAGTAGTAACTGCTAGTTTCTAAATGCAGCCCATCTCTTGATTGCTCTTGTTTGTTTGTAGGGCTTTCTGGGCAAACAACATACCATGGGTTATTTTCCAGTTTAGTATTTAAATATAAAACGATGACGTAAATATACCAAGAATCTTAAAACGAGGATAGCTACAGTATTACAATTCTCTTCATCGTCACTACAACACCCGCCACCAGCCCCTGCTGTTATCATCGCATCAATTGTATTTTTTATTTCAAATTAAATGATCTCACTGGAGTTTCCTGAACGGTTTGCGTGCACATAATGTTTACCGGGATTCCGTATTAAACATAAATTCTGATTGCGCTACAGAGAACAGCTCTGTATCAAGCTGTACACCTGAAGAGTTAAACACAGGACCGTGAGGGATGCTTTGAAGTATAAACGTCTTCCAGCACCCCTGTTCTAGAGATCAGGGTCAGCATGACAATGCAGATAATAATACTATTCATAATAAAATATTTAATAAATATAGTAGCGGGATTAACATCAATTAGAGACTAATTGACGATTGCAGGATAAGGATGATTTTTAAAACTCCTTTCTTCTTCTTTGTCTGAGACTTCAGTGAGGGCTCCGGGACTCATTTTGGAAAGAGCGTCAGTACAAATTACCTGTTTGAAAGAAAACACCGTTGATCTGTTAGGTTTACGTGTTAGTTTAAGACACATACCCTGCGATGTCTATGGGAACGCGGACACCCTTTTAAATAACTTTAACTGGGATGAAGTTATGGCGATTGCAGGGACCTGCGTTTTAAAAAAGAGCCTTAGGACCCTCTCTCGAATATACCGTTTCAATCCGAGTGGAGATGCCGGCGAGCACCATGGATTCAGACGTTATTTACGTATCACATGGACACATACAGTATACGATATTGCATTCCAAACTTTACTTTTCATTTTCTTTCGAAAGAAAACTAATTTCTGCATTCTGTGTCTTGTCTCCTGTCTTTGAGCAAATTCCAAGAAAATCCGGTTGGCATAAAGATTAAGATTAAAATGGTAACGTTCATTTATATTTTAATTGTGATATAAATATAAAATCACAGTCTCGAATACTGAAAAAAAGGGAGCCGGTACCCTCTGTCCAGTTGTGGTTAGCGTGATGCAATCGGTTTTAAGCGACATCCACAGTTCCCATTAGTAACTTTATCCCCCCCACCACCCTACACACATGCCTAAACAATTTCCCCATCACAAGTTTATTACCGCGCCGCCGGTGCTCAGTCTCCCGTCCGGCGCAATATTAATGTTATTGAAAAAATATTGAAAATGAAACGTGTCTTCATTAAGAACACGAGGTAGGGCCCAGAACAAGAAAGCACTTAATTGAAAGGGCAGTGTATTTCAATAGCTCTTTGAGAGAAGATTAAACACTCTCGAATCCAAGCACACAATCGGAGAGAGAGAGAGAGAGAGGCCGAGGGCAGCCTGATTCAGTCTTCCTTCACCTTCAAACCAGACCGATAGAAACACACGTAGCTGTTTTCCGCAACACGGAGACACTGTTGCTGTTCTCGCTGGAGACGGTGAGACGTGGTCTTTGAAGAGAACTTTTGAGCCACCGGTCTGTTCTCCTTGGTTTTTCAACGTTGTTCGGTATCTGAGGTTAGGTAGAGTTCCTTTCTGCTGTATCATACTTGTATTTACCTGATTGAAAGAAACAAAATAAATGACGATTGAGCATTTTTTTCAAAGTTGCAGCCAACTTTTCTTTCCATTTAATGCATTTAAAAAAGAATATTGCTAAATAAATGGTGAATCCAATTTTAGTGCCCGCTCCATGCCTACAAAATAGATTAACAGTGTGGTGTCTTGATGTGTTGACACTGTTATATCTGACTGGCTGAGTTTAAGTATTCAGGAAAAGGGAGATAATTTTGTTGTACATTAAGCATCCTTGTTAGGCTGCAAACATCACCAGGACAAATATATTGAAAACAGATGGAAGGACATCCTGGTCTGATGTTTTTGGTTTAAAACATAAGATAGGAGCCATGTTTATACCAAAGCCTTCTAACATATCCATATTAATTACATTTCTACTCCCCTAAAACCAACATAAATCAGTATTATAGTAGTTACTATAATAACTATAAATTAGTAGATAAATCATTAAGATAAATGGGTGGTAAGCAAACCTTCCACACTATTTAACACCAGGCGGACTGCAGCTCCATGCTGTACAGTGGAGTTTCTTGCGTGTGGGGGAACCAGCAGACAGGAACACTAGCCAGCAGGCTGGAAGACAAGAGAGCACCAAGGGTTTGCAGAATGGGGAGAGTTAGGTCTCTTTGGTGCACTCCATCTCCATGATCACATCTTCTCAACTGGAGCAGGGATGCAATCGGAATATTTCTGCTGGGCGGCAGAATGATGGAGGGTCAAACTAGAGAGCTGTATTGCTTACAAACGTGCTGAAACAAGAGCACTATCTGATACTTGAAAAAAACGGTGACTATGAGCTGGTAGTTACAACACAGACAGGAAGGCGCAAATCAGTGCAGAAACTTGAAGATCACGATGAATTCACCACAGTTCTCTGTTAGTTATATGTTCATTAACCTGGAACTAACCATTTAGGAACAAGGTGTTATTTACAAAGCCAACCTAGGGAGGTTACCGGCAGTAGACAATGGCAAAGTCACACCAGATCAAAACAGCAAACGAAACAAATCAGTCCAGCAATCAGACTTGTTCAAGATCAGTGGAAGTAGCCCAAAAAGGAAAAAAAGTGACAGATGTTTCCGTTCCAATTATTTCTCGATTCCTAGGAGGAAAACGTTATGATCAGACTTTTGCAAAAGTCAGATTAGCTTTTACCACAGGCAGGTCTGCCTTGATTTTTTAGCATTTACTGTAGACGGAGAGACTCAGAATTCCGCACACACCTCTCCCTGCATGCAATAATGTGGTGGTCACTGGGAAAGGAGCTGATCCCTCATGTGACAATGTTGCAGGTTCACAAGACCTCAAAGGAAAATACTGGTGATCCTTCAGACAGCCAGGGCTATGGCTAACACAATGCTTCTGCAACTTTTTTATAGCACAACATAAGACACAGCAGGGAGCCTTTCACTTACTAGATTAAGCCATCTTTTAGACATAAGAGGTCCTACGAAAGGGATTTCAATTTGTGGAGATAAACTGTCAACCCCAAGCACATAATTAAATCCAAATGCTTCCCTTCGGCAAAAACAAAGGTTATGTCCTTTGTGCCCCAGTTCAAGACGGATATGTGTTGATGTATTCCATTGTTTGTATTCTCTTTTTTGATATTTTTGGAGATTTTGTAGACAACACCAAAGGCTTGTCATCTGGTGTTTACATTGCACTTGCAAATGTCGGAGATCTTTTGTCTGCTGATTTTAAGTTCGCCACATTCGTTCAGTTGCCTCTATTACCTGCTTTCTGCCTTGGATTTCAAAAGAGGGAAGCCACCAGATCTCAACAAAGTATTGGCATTGGAAAAAGTGCTAGCGTAATGCAAGAGGAGGGTGACTCAAATGAAGCTGAAGCACTCACGTTTGTAACATTAACACTGCATCGTTGTGAGTCGTTGAAAACTAGGACTATACCAATACCACCTGTCTATTTTGTATCGTACAGTTCACACACTGGCTGCCAGGTTAATAACGTTGCCATCCTTCTTCCACTTGCTAAGAAAGTCAGAAAAATACATTCAAGATTGTGAACAAAGTATTTTAATTTCCTAACCTTGGAATAATAAAGAGTCGACATAAAGGAACTGGCCAAACAAGGCATAGATCTGTTTTGCTTTCTTGAAATATGTGCATACTGTAACACTGAAATTAAAAGTGAACTTTAAAGGCCTAAGTAAGGTGTTTGTGTATTAGCTTATGTATTTGTGCTGTGGATTAATTTCCTGCCACTAATATTTTATGGTTATTAATCAGCATTGTAATTGTTTGTTTTGTGTTTGCACAGGGGCCTTGCTACAAACAAATGGATTCAATTAAATCTCTCTTCCCTCTTCTAAATATCAATATGTGAACTCCAGCAGAAAACAAGGCTTTGCGAATCTCACAATGACAAACGCTGCTGTAGGAAACACTCCCCACACATCCAGAAGGTGAATTTAAGGAAACAAAGATGTGGCTGAGAGCTGTTTCAATGTGGCAATCTGCTTATAGTGGTACCATGCCAGTAATTAGCATGGTGTGTTCTTTTGGCTACATGTGCCCTGAACTGTGGTAAAAATGTATAATTAATATTGTTGTAGTATCATTTCGAGTTCTCGTAGTAAAATTTACACTACTACACTGCAGCTCTTTTCCCGTAATATTTGATCTTTCTTAAAGAAGCAGAGCTTAAAAAAAAACAGATGCCATTTCCTGTGTGTGACATTTGAATGGACAAAATAAACGCTTCAATGGTATAATTAAAATGAGAAGTGGATAATCCATTCTTTTCCATCGCCTATATCAAAGAAACGGCAGAACACATACACTTTCAGAGTTCAATGCAAGGGCTGTATCACAAAATGCCACATCTTTTAGAACTTAAATAAGTGGTTGAGCTTCTGTTGAGCTGCAGTATTTGGGAGAAACAATGGATTGGAACGTATTTTTCATGTCTGTGTGCGTGTGTGTTTTTTTTCCCTATCGAGTGAAGCCTGAGCCTTAGGAGTGGAGGTGGTGTGTTTGCCGAACACACAGGGCAGTGTTTGGCAATGAAAGTCTCACCCTAGAATAGGTCCAGCTCTCCTCCGTGCCCAGCTAAGGATCGGTACAGGTAACAAAACCTTCCCTTTGCCTTTCTCAGCATTCCCATCATTGTCCCTTCACCTCCTGGAGCAGCTCCTTTTCTCCTTAGGCCTGGCGTGGGACTCCGATGGTCTCGTCCTCCTGGCCAGACTGTTCCCCCAGCCAACAGGGTTAAACACGCGTCTGCATCTCACATCGCTCACAAGCTAAAGTGGCACAATACTCGCCCTACTAGGGCTGCCAAAAACTCTTGAGCCAATAAAAGTTTGAAATAATGAAAACTGTAGATGAGAATTTTTTCCTCCTTCGTTTAGCCAAACTGTTTTTCCCACTTTTCCATTTTTCTCATTTTTCTTTTTTGCATGACATTCTTTCCAGCAGGGGCTTGGATGAGGTCAGGCTGTGCGTGGCGTGTGCGTGGCTTGTGTTTTGACCCTCATTTCTGTAAAATCTACAGATTATAGTCGTGCAGACGCTGAACACGGAAAAAAAAAAGCCATTCAAACAAATCAGCAATTCCTGCTTCTGATGTCTATTTCTTCAATACAAAGTCTGAGTTAAAAAGCCTTGATGACAAACAGGCTAGCTGAAGCATAACCAGTATGAAAATGCATAGATTCTACAGCATGTAAACATCTATAGCAGAAAGAGTGATACTGCTCTCTTTGTGACTAAAATAAATACTCGTGTACATGACAGAGTCGGAGAGAGAATGAGAATGTGCTTTAGGAGCCTGCGTGACCTGCTAGCTTTCAATCATTGTAATTGTGTATGCACATATGTAAATACAAATCACAATATTTAAGTTTTTTTTTTTACAATCCCAATTATAAATCAAATGATTTGATGCATTCTTTCATTTGCGGTTTTATTCATTTGTTCATAATCTCCTGATCAGACCGCCTGTGGGCCACAGAGCAATCAGCACCTTTGCCCATCATTTACTTGAAATGCAAATCCAGCCTGTCTCTCCGGTTTTCACTCTGCCTTTTTTTTTCCAATTAAGTTGAGCAGCTTGGTGCAACCAGGACTCATTGCATCTGACGCTGCCTCAACTCGATGCCACCTTGCTGAACGGGGGCGGGCACACAGACGTTGAGAGGTGACAGAGTTGTCTTCAGAGGAAATGCCCAGGGGTCAAGCCCAGATGGGCGATGGGGTTCCTAGATTCTAATACCAATGATTAGTCCGAGTCCAGGCAAGGGCAGGCTGGCACTGTAAAGCCGGATTCATGACAAAAGGCCGAGATGGTTGTAACGTTAACTTAATGGAGACAGAGAGAGAACGTCATGCCCTGCTTTTCTTGAAGAAGGAAGGTCATCATGAGGAACTGAAGGCCATGCGTACAGGCAAACGCTATTATTGCTTTGGCCAGTGTGCTGCCCAAATTCCTCATAACCTGCAGGAAACGTGTAAGGGCGTCAACAGACATCACATGACATAATAAAGGCAATAATTCTTGCTTCAAAGAAAGCAGATCATCTTGGCGGGGAAGGTTACGGCCGCAAGCATCACAGAAAAAAAATGAAATCCTTTCACCGCCAGTGGTAGATGTCGAAGTGAGAGATGTGAGATCTGAAAGAGAGAGGGAAAAATAGCCCGGGCAAGAGTATCAGTTTTCTGAGCGTGTTTCAGAAGACACACATCCGTCGTCAGCCTTTCTTCGCTTTCTCAATCGCCCCGTGTTTACGGCACAGCGAACCGTTCTGTGTCAGGGCTGAGTGCGCGTTGAGGTCAGGTGTTCCCTCGCCGGAATAAACCTGCCCTGCAGATGGACCGTCTGTGTGAAGGAGTTCAAAGTCGGGAGGACTTACTGTGGAGGATTTGTTAAGGCTTTTCAGGTAACGCCTGATTTGAATTGGATTGCGGGATGCATTCATAACACCTTTGGAAATGCTACATTGTACTACGGCTGTGCATATAATCCCCCCGTAATAACTTTAGAAATGGGGACCGCGTGTACAGCCTTGACTATTCATCAGCTGGTCTTAAATGTTTTGTCGCAGCTCTTGCCCCTAAAGCCTAGGTGATATGTCGGGAGACTTTGCAGAGAGGACTCCCAGAGTGGAATACTACTTTCGGGCTTTTCCCTTTCATCTCCACTACATCCTCACGCACAGAGATTTCCAACGGAACTGTGCGCACAGGCTGTTCGATTTAATGCGAGCTAGTTTGAGATAGGAGACTGCTGAGTGATTCACCAAAGGGTGTACTGAGCGCCTTAAAATAATCTGGAAGAATCAAGGAATCAGCCCTCATGCTCACAGTTGTTTTTGCCTTGATGTTTTCGGAATTGTGACTGCTGTTACTGGCCCACATTCCGTAGACAGGGAAAGAAAAACGTAGGACAGATTTCGCATTTTGGTAGGAATCTTTGGACTAACAGTCGACAGAACTGCAAAGCTTCCCTGTCTGATGCAAGGGTAGCGGAATTTTTAAGATGCACAGCCCGACCGTGTGAGGATACGTGAGTGTGTGTGTTTGCGCCCGGTCCAAACGCTGCTCTGCAGTGAGTGACATCTTGGCGATACCCACGGTTCCCTGCTTCGACATTTCAAAGATAGCCCCAGTCAGAGGTGACATTGCCAATCCCTCTCAATTCTTTAATTTTGCTGAGGGTTTTTTTTTTTCCTTGCGCAACGTTTTGCCAGTCAGAGGCGCCCTGTGCCAACTGGATGTTCAAGCCGCATTCGGAGACAGCGGCCGTATGTGTATCGTTCCCAGCCCCGGGCCGGCGAGATAGCGCGGCTGGGAATCCCCAAAGACCCGTCCGTCAAACGGCCCCTCCCCGCCAATTAGGAGAGTAAACATGGGCTGCGCGGGAGGAGGGGGCGGCCAACTCCTGGTGTTACTGGAGCTGTCAACACCAGCAACTGGAGCTCGAACAGCGAGGAACACAAAATTAAACACAAAGAGAGACATCAACCCATTCTTCTGGTATGTCGATCTCTCCATCTCTCTATTTATTGGGTCCCGCGGCCTGACTTCAAGCCAAGTTTCATATGATCTTTATACGAGCGTTAAATCAGGACTGGGGCGCAGTCGAGCAAAGGTTATTAGGTATAGACAGCCGGGGGCGAGGGGGGACTTTAGGTGCAGAGATTCGCATTCGGTTTAAATCTGTCCCAACTTTGGAGAGCTGGTCATTTTAGAATTCGGTTTATTTGAAATCTGAAACTCTTCTTTTTCTTGATGTTTAACCCTATTACACCGATGAATACCCGTATTCCAAGATTTCCACCTATATTCTCGCTCCTGTCGCGTTTCCCAGCCACGTAAGGAGCTGCTCCGTCTTTCTGTTTCTTCATTTCTGTGAATGGGGGTTTCTGTGCCGTTCAGAATGACATCAGAGACGCAGAGGAGTGAAAGTCTTTTGTTAATCTCTGCCATTGAGTGCCTTTGGAAGGAGCTGACAGCCACACTTCATTCTGCGTTTTCAAGATTATTTTTAGGGTCTGCAAATCTTTTTCTGTGTGCATGAAACAGGCCTATTGTCGACCCCCTGTAGCAGTTATATGTGTGCCTAATGTGCCCCCCCCCCCAGTGAACAGCAAAGTGCCAAATGATTGTCGCTGTCCGGGTGAAATTGACTCGGAGGGACAGAGTCTTTAAAAAACACACCCCCTTATAAGACAATACATCTAGCAAAGTGCCACACTGTTTGTTCAGGATACGTGTTGACACGTCCCTACAGGCTGCGCAAGAGCTGTTGTTTGTCTCCTGCCACAAAGGTGAGTCTCAGCATGTCGAAACCTGTCATGTCGAAACGTAGGCCCTCAAGCCTGGTAAAATAAGTCCGGAGATGTGTGGTTTCACCCCTTCCTCCTCGTCCAGGCGCACGGTGGGCTCTCAGGGGAAGGTGGCGGCTGTGATCAAGGTGGCCCCTCTCTAGGCGCTCGCAAAGTGAAGCTCAGGCCGGGCAACCAGCCTTCGGCCCTCGTTTCCCGCCCCCTCGTGCAGCTCTTCCCACGTCCCCCTGCCTGCGGCCCGGCCTGTGCCATCGCCCCCCTCCCCTCCTCCACACACCTCTCGCCCCTCTCCCCTGGTTGCCGTGGGGACAGAGCGGAGAGCGCTGGAATGCCGTGCCGGCTGGAGCCGCAGACTGGGGCTGGCGGGGGGACGGGCCCGCGCTCTCTGCCCAGGCAGGGAGGCTGGCTGGGGGAATGTGGAGACTGGGAGGAGCTGGAATTTGCGGGACTGCCAGGGAAATGCCATGTGAAGGGCGATGGAGAGAGCAGGGAGGGAGGGAGAGAGAGAGAGGGGAAAAGTAGAAGAGGTGGCCAATTAAAACACAATCTGTCAGATCGCCTATCGCTCCAGTGCTACCTGCTAGCGAAGCTGCATGTTCAGGAGCCTCCCTTTCCCAAGCAAGGGTTCGCTGCCCTCCCAGAGTTGGCCGCTAGGTTGCGATCACTGCAGTGAGTGGCCCTGTGACCTCCATTGTGTGGACAGCACCCAGGTGGGCATTAGTGTGAGGTCAGGCTTGAAATTGGTTGGACATCCTGAGTCTCTCCTGGCCCGCTGAGTTCGCAAACAGCATGTGACTGTGATGCAATCCAATTCTCTTTTCATTCCCGTTGGGCTGTGTGGGGCAGCGAGAGATCACTGCAGGCCTATAAAAAGTCAAGGTTCGGCCTTGTGATGGGGCGGATGAAGCTGTACTGGAAGTACTGGGGGGAGTGCTGAGTGTGTTTAGTCTTTCTTTTCCTCATGTGCAGGCCTTTTTTTTTAGGATTCCAGAGGGCTTGATCACAGGCTCATCCCTGGCCTGAATCTGTTTGCCATCTCTCAGAAGCATCTTGTGGAGCTCACACCAGCAGCACTGAAATATGCCACACAGCTAACGGCCAGCCAATCAGCACGGGAGACTCCAGTGCTATTGTGAGCCCTGGGCAGCTGACATCACTGTAACAGTTCCATCCTACACAGTGTGAGCCCTCTGACATCTGCTGATGGTTTGAAGTCAACCTGATCAGGAAGAGACACTCGCAATCTGCTTCCCTCAAATGCCCCATCGCCTACACCGACGGAACCCAGCATCCTAGCACCCTAAGGTAGCACGATAAGTGCACGGTAGCTGTACCACGCACTGATATCCCTGTCAAAGAAAACCACGTGAAGGATCTTGATTAACGTTCAGCAACCTTTGGTGGTCAAAGTGCCTGAACTCTGTCGAACGTCCGAGTTCAGCCCCCAGTCCCCAGCAGCTGCCTTGCTTGAAAGATTGTGAAACGAATTCAGGGAGAGGGCTTTATTTCTCTTGTCTTGGCACGCCCCCCCC